TTATACTTGAAATTATTAAGATAAAATTACTTAAATTGCTTCAACATTTAAGATATAAATATTAAATATTGAAGCAATTTTAATTCATGTCAATTTTTTTACTTTATCTGTATTTAAAATAATTCTTAAACAGTAAAAGATATAAAAAGATATAGAAAATTATTTTCTTCAATTTTTCATATCAAGACTTTACATCATTTTAAATAAAACTTTATATATTTTCTTAGACAAGTTTAATAAGTCTGTGATCTGTGATCTGATTTGTATATCTTTGCTATATCTCTAAAAAGTAATAATTCGTTAATTATACTCGCGAAAATCGTAAAATAGTAGAAGACTTTTCTATATTCATTACAAGATTTTTTTATTTACCCACAAAACGTAATCAGATTATTACCGGATTATTACTGGATATTCTGTATATTTATATTCTTAAAAAGTTTTCTATGATTTTATACTTACTTGAATGGATGACCATCCGAGGTCTTCTGGACTGCCTGAAGAACAGTTTTATAAATACGGAAAAGAATAGTTCCGCTAAGGACGAGGAGTGACATATAAGCCAGCACACTAATCAGACTGAAGTAGGCCAATGATAGGAGCACACCTAATATCGTACCAAACACGATCCCCGATTTTTTCGGATCGCGCCAATATATCAGAGCTGCCACTGCAAACAAAAACAAATATTCACATTTAAGAGGGGGAGAGGAATCGCATACAAATCCACAAATATTTCTAATATAATCATAATAATAGAATCCATTAATCTATCTCAATTTAACATTGTTGGCAAGTTAAAAAATGTATTGTAATATACATAGAAATATGATTCATGTTTAAATAATTTTTCTTTTCGGTTACTAATAGCAAATATCAGTTCTATATTATATAACATTTACATTGCTACTGCATCATTGGCTTTTTCAATTAATTTATTAAAAAATTCGTTTCAATAAAAGCTTCTAATAAAAGATAAGAAAGTCGGTGTTGCCAACGTCAATAAAAACGACATTTGTTCAAACGTTCGTTTCAAACGTTTTTGAAAAATTTTTTTGTTGTGTGCGATTTAATGTTTTTTTTATAAAAGTGTGACAGAAAACTCGAATGTTGAAACTTACAATAAAAGATTTTTTTTAAATTATTTTTAAGTTAATTATTGAAGAAAAAAAATCTTCCTCTATTAAACTTGTCTTTTCTAATTTATAATACGTATATATATTTGTATTTTAGGCTCAAATTTACTTCTAATCTACTTAAAGCAAACTATTTACTTCTATTAAGATCTCAGCAGAACAGCAGAAATAACAGATAATTCTCGATAAACAGGATGTTAGAGGCTTAATAATCTCTTTTCTATATTTTGAACTTATATAAAGTTATTATGTTTAACAGATTTGTAATATAACAACTTAAAGCCAAAATTAAATTTTTAATAAATTGGTATTAAAATATAGATCAATTCCCTTTCCCACGAGAAATTTTTACTGCGAAAAATATCATCTCAACTAGAGTTCAAACCTGGAATCTCTCCTCGATTATTCGTGTGGCGGGTGTCTTTATCAATTCAACTATATGTTTCGGTATTTATTACTTTAACATCTTCGGGCCATATACTGAAATATTTATTTTCAAAGTTTGATTTATAAAAAAATTTTTCCTTTTTTTTTAATATAAAATTATGTATAAAATATGTAATGTTATTTAAAAAAAAATGCGACTTTAAATTGATCAAAGAATGTATTATTAAAAAAAAGAACAATACTTTCAGGATATCTCATATAAAACATCATATATAATAAAAATATTTATTCTATATAACATTTGTGTTTTTAATATATACATATTATTTATTTATCTCAATATCATATACATTACATATAATATTATTAATAGCAACAGCCACGAAGTTGATTTTAATATATGGACGCATAGCCAGTAATATGAAACCAGTAATATGTAACGAAAAAAACTACTATTAACCAGTTTAGAGAGTTGTAACAAACTAAAACAATTCCATCCAGGTAATTTTTTCAGCCTTAAGAACAATTGAACAAAATTGATAAAGTATGTGATAAAATAACTGATAAAATTTGAAATAGTTGTCATTTATAAATATATTATTCTAAAAAAAACATTTCTCTTTCGATATATCTTCCCTATAGTTCAATGTATATGTTATATAGTTCAATGTATATGTATATATGTTCCCTATAGTTCAAATAAATTTCGACATTATTTATTTAAAGTTTATTAATCTATATTTTTTTCTTTTCTAATTCGTAATTTGCGTCACATAAATTCACATAAATAGATTTTTCTTTGATAATTTTACATGCACATATGCATATAAATTTGCATATGTATTTTGGTGTGCATTCATACAAATATCTTGTATCTTTGTATTTTGTATCTTTAATAAATTTTACAATATTTTTATTATAAGATAAATAAAATTATAATTATAGAAATCTATTGCAAATTATATTTAAACGGGTTCAATTAATAAAAGGATTTTTTTTTCTAAATACAAAACATTAAACACTCAGTTGCAATATAAAGCAGAGCATTTTTATGATAGTATATCATAAGGAAATAAGTATTATATCATCAACCATATGTTCCTGGATCAATGGTCGTCAGCATATCGAATTAGCTATTTCTGTAATCGTACAATTGTATGGGGATGCATAGGAATGCAAGACTTACTAGGACCGCGATTCGGAAGAGTTTGCACGTGCCCTTTCTGAAATACTATGTTTCTTCGTATCATCCTTATAAAGTGTCACGGAAATGTTCCCCGTTATAGAGAATATCTGCGCGCTCGGGATCGCGATCACACGCAGGACCGTCCCAACATTATTGACTGACTGACTTCCAACGACTTATTCAAGATCCGGCCACGCGAGAGGAAAGCCTCATTGATAGCGACAAAGAAAGAAGGGGAAAGACGGGAGGAAGGACTGGCGAACGTGGAACAGTAACGTAACTATCAATAGACATTGAGGTACATTTACGTGCAGAATATTAACAATATTAAAAATTTATAATTTTCGTTTCGAAGAGTATACATACTTTTCTTCAAAAGTATAGAAACGGACAGACATAATTCGTCAGGGATGCATTTTAGAAAAAAAGAAATGTTACAGGGGTTGTTGTTTCAGGGTTCAAAGGATCTGTTTATCCGATCTTATCCGTTATCACGCCTTGGATGGCATTGCCAAGGTCATATAGAGATCAACTTTACTTTTTTTAAATAATACAAATTTACTAAAAAAAATACGATAAAAAAATGAGATAAACTTTAAAGATATAAATAACGAAATATTGAAAAACTTATTCAATTTCATATAATTTCATATAATTTCATATAATTTAATAAATTATATTACATTATATACATCTGTCACATCTGTCACAATGATTGATCAGAATAATCTTAATGCAATTGAAGTGCACCAAGGTTCTCTATGTAAATTTAACTTTGAAAGCACTTTATATAATTTAAAATTTCAAACGAAATCCACAAAAACTAACAAAAAATAAGTAATTGTATAATAACACACATGCGCGCACATGCATACACATAAGATACATGCAAAAAGATTAGATAATTATGATAAATTTTATTAAAAATTTTAAATTGGGGCTAGTTAACTCTTCATATTAAATTTATCGTTATATTAAATCTTTTGTATCAATGATGTTATAATGAAAGCACATATGCTTGATGCCTCTTTTCACCTTTTTTAAAAAGATACAATACATTGACAACTATATCGCTTTCAATCTGTTTTATTATTTATATTGTCTTGAAAAGGATAAATTCAAATTCCACACATATTTCCACTCGTAATCGTCCAATACTTTCTGATGATTCAGTGAAGATATCTATGTTTCATGTGTGCAATACCGCATTATTATAGGTAACTAAATTTGTTTTTATCATCAAAATTTATTGGTCTGTACCAAGAATAATATACCAAGAAAGCGTTTTATATTAATATTTATCATCATATGATATCTTGCATGTGCGTGCACATGAAAGATTTTTAATAAATCTTTTTTATTGTATCATCAAAATGTCAATATAAAAAATAAAATATCTTATAATATAAGACATTCCTTTTATTAATTTTATATTTCTTTCTCAAGACAAAGTCACTTTATACGAAATTTAATAAATTATGTAAAAAACATATAGTTCACACAATTCCCAAGAATAATATTAATATTAATATCTTATAAAAAAAAATATTAAAAAACGTATATATAATATTCTTTTCTTAAAACTATGGAACTATGGAAAATGTTTTTAAATAAAAGTCGCATGAAAATCATTTTCTCTACTTCTTAATTCAATTTTTTTAAGGTTTTTTTCTATTTTCTTTTTAATAAAATTAATTACGTAATATTTTTAGATACTGATGATTTTTCTAGTTATTCCGATAAATAAAAAATATTAAAATAAAGTTGAATGAAAGTTATTTTAAATAAAAGGCTAAAATTAATCATTATTTTTGTAAATTTATAAAACAAGATAGAAATTGAAATTCATCAACCGCGCGCATCACACTCAAATGCATGAAAGTGACAAAATAATAATTTGTCGCATTACAATAATAGTGAATCCCAATGGCCCCATTTATAATTAAAATTGTTTTTGCAATTTCCGTTTTTGCATTTTCCGGTTGGATATTTATCTATTATGTTACAAGATACAAATGACATTTCGATTTTCAGAAAATAGCTGAATATGCATAATGATCACGATAAGACCAAATGCGTTTACGCAATTCTCATAACTGTCGTGTTCGTCCATGATGCAAAATTATGCATTACAGGTCGACGCGACAGGTCATGTATGGCGCCGCTTTATTGATTCGCATACAAGAATTTCCCCCTCGGATTTATCTATCCTATGCGTCATCCAATGGAAAGAAAAAGGCGCAGTTAATCTCTGCCAGTTTAGTAGTTGCGTTGAGTGTATAAACAGAATAGAATTTATACTTGGTATGAGAAATCCATAACGTAATTCCATAATATTAACTTACAATTAGAAATGAAAGAATAAAAGAAAAAATGATTAAAATTACATCGATTTAAATATCGAATATTTAGAATTTCTAATATCTTGTAACGAGAAATTGGATTATGTCAGAAATATGTTATGTACACTCTTTCCTTATATTATGTAATATTCATACGTATTAGTTATTATTATTCTTCCAGGTCATTAATTCCATGCAATATAGATAATCGATAAAATATAAAATAACGAAAATGTCATCTCTAGTTGTCTTTGATTAATAAATAAAAATATACTTTATTCAATATATACCTTATTTTTGATAAAAATTAGCTTTCTAATATGTTGATCCAGATTTAGTTATCTATTATTTTATAAATTAAGAAAACACTTTTTATATACTTTTATATACTTTTGATATTTCCAATAACTTTAAAGAATATCAATAGCAGTATATGGAAAAGCTAATATATTTTGATATATATGCGAGAAAAAACTTACGTTGTTACGTGTTTTCATTTATTAATATTTAATATAATGTCAGATTGTCCTATTGTCCTAGATAATTCTATAAGATGCAACTAAAAAAATTATACAAGCTCTGCTAACGAGAAAAAAAAATGAATTTGCATCGATCATATTATTAATATTTATTATATTTTAGATATAATAAATACCTTTCGCTAAAAAAATATTCTGAAATATTATTCGAAATATAAATCAAAACGCAATAAACAAAAAGTTCTAGATATAATAATATTTCTTTAAAAAAAAATGTGAAAATATCGCTTATTTTTCACCTCTGTAAGAAAACACCTCTATTCTTTTGAAAGTTAAGTAATAAATAATGCCAAGGATATGACGGATATAATGTAATTGCACACTGTATGATGTGATTTCTGAGGCCTTTCTCAGGTTTTATCATGTGTGTGAATAATAAAATAAAACCACCATCGGTTCGATACAGATGCAAAATATAGTTAGAAAAAAAATCGAATATACCTACAGTGACACATATTTAGTAAGAGTAACATTGTAGCTTGAGAAAGGCTTCACATAAATCTCATAAATATCGTACATTTCATAATAATCGAATTCCCATCGAATCGAATTCTCTGCTTTTAAATTAATATATAATTCTTAAACATTTTTTTTAATTAATATATAGTTCTTAAATTTAATAAACATTCTGTATAATTGCTCAAGGAAATGTAAATGTAATGTGAATCTTCTTTAAGCAATTATATATTAAAGAATAATTTTAAGCAATTATATATTAAAGAAAAAATAAATAAATAAATTGATGTTACGGAAATATCGCGACATTAAAATAAAATATCAATAAAATATTGACATTAACTTAGCTATCTATTATTAGATTTTTTTTAAAGAATGGTATAATTGATTTTACCTATCAAATTAAAAATACTAAGTAATTGTCTCTCTTTACGTCAATTGTTATAATTGTTATGAGTTCCTGTCTCATCGAAACAATAATGGAACTAAACAAATGTATATGTAAGTAACATTAACGTAACGTAACATTAATGTCTAATGCGGAGAATCTTAAAGTTTTCAACAACAATGTATAATAAAAGAAGATGTAAGAAACAGACAACATGCAAAACTAATGCAAATCTAATGCTAGATGCAATATAATATATAATATATAATACATAATATAATATATAAACACATACATATACACACACGCGCGCGCGCGTACATACACACATTTGCGGGCACCAAATCAATCAAAAATCATCAAGATTTCTTTAACGTTCATTAATCTTTCCCATTGACTTTTTCTTGCAATTAATTACATCTAAATTTCATTATGTCTCGATGATACTATTACTTTTTGTTTATGACTCATGTTCCACTCTTATATTTATTAAATCAATTTCTCTTTCTGCATTTACATAGCGTAAAATACATACTTATTTCCAAATCATCATTGCTCTTAGCGATCTACCGTTCTACTCACATTCCTCCTTCGTGATGACCATTTTCTCTATGAACATTCGGCCGCCGGACTCTATCGATTATTGTTTATACCAAAGTCTAATTTCTGGATTTGAAATGATCACGATTGAATCGGGAAGCAATCGTTCCAGAAAAACGAGATAGAGAAGAATCGAAGAACGATGAGCGAACAACGCACGGAACTGCTCCGTCGGTTTGGAAACCCTGACGAAGATCTTTGAAAACCTGGCATTAGACCAACGAGAGGCTGGCTGAACGTTATATTTAGTAGCATCCGAGAACGGCAGGTCCGATGAACGGGCAGAGATGCCGCCAATGCAAAATCATTTTCGTAGCGGATTAATTATTGTATTTCAAATCGAGTGACGCTTCATAGAACATACGCTACGCTTCACTACGTACATACGTAAGTGGGATTTGTTGTTACATATCGCAACACTTTTATCTTACAATATCCCTTTAGAATCATTCCAAAAGCTATCTTCTCAAACAAGTTCCTTAATTAACCATATCTAATACAATATCCAAATATATGAATTATTTACTAGCCTGTAATTTACACTTGACGTTATTTAACGATTTTAAAATTTTCTTTCATCTAATTTTATTCGACATAATTTAACAATACTTTGATTAACTTTTGATAATAATATAATATAAAATGAATTAATAATATTAAATTTAGTTAATTTTGACTTTGATTTTTGCATTATATTTTAAATTACTCTTTTTTATTAATAACTAATAGAAAACAATTAACCAATAGTAATATTTTATATAATAGTAAGATTTTATTTTTATCTACCATATCTAAAATATTTTCAAAAATTATCTTTACGTCATGTTTTCAACATTATCGGATGTTCTCTTCTAATTAATATCTACTCATATCTCATTATCTCAACTTTAGTGCAATGTTTTAACGATAAATTTTTTTACACAAATTTTATAAAGTTAAGTTATTAAAATATAAAAATTGTCCTAAATTAATTTATTAGAATTGCAATTTTACAATCAATTACACATAAAACTAGAGAAACATTAGAAAATAATATAATTTCTATAATATTACTTGTAGTTTATTTCGATATTAAGGAATATTAACTGAAATATTACAGCAACACTGAAAATAATTTCAAACAATTTAAATAAATATAAGCTATAATATATGATCACAAACATCTCTAATTGAATCAATCAATGATATGTTGCTACAAACAAGAAAAACAATATATTTCTGTTCTTTTTTTCTTACCTTTTGGATTCAGTCTTTCAGGATTAAACCATGCGTCTGCAAACAATAGAATTGAAGTATGTTAGTATAATATGTGATACATGACTTTAGAAAAACAACATGTAAAAAGTGTGAATTATTATGAGTTAAGTCTGTTAATAATTAAAGCGTTTCATTACAAAATTTCAAAATAATAAAACTAAATTTTTTCTAATATGTTCTTCAATAAAAATAATCAAATTGTTTTTGTTTATATAAATATCAAAAATATTTGCAATTACATTTGCAACTTTATTTTATTATTTTGTGAATGAATATTTACTTGTTCTTTACATATATAGTTTTATTTGTTCTTTACATATATATTTACATATATTCATTGATAAATATATTTTCATTAATAATATAATATTGTTTTTATTTTACTGTAGTATTAGATAGTAACTGAAATTCTCGAAATCGTTCGCGCGTACAACGAAATTTTACATTACACTAAATGCCTTAATCAGTATAATCTCAGAGCGCTTTGAAAAAAAGGGAGGGAAGGGGGGAAGGAGGACAAGATTGAAAGCAAAGTCTGAAACTATAAGCGTTATAAATTTTGCTAGCGACTTTGGGATAATTGTAAATATAAAGAGGAAATGATTAATGACAGAAATGTATTGAATATAATATTAATGAATACAAGAATTATTTGTTTCTTCATAGTCACATTCAAATCAAACGAATTATTATTTGTTAAAATAACTCATTAACTTTTAAATAAATAAAAGAACAATCATTCATTGCAAAAGCAGATGAAACAGAGATCATGTGAAATAGAGATTAAATAAAACCAGAAGAAGAAATATACATGTACAAGAGATTGGATCATAACTTCATACGTGTTATATTCCTCTTTGAACTTATTTTTCAGGTTATACTTCTATTAATAATTATATAATAAATCGATACAGATAGAAGATTGCTACCGTAATAAGATACCTGCTTCGTTCAAAAGGCTATCGAAATATCAATAGCTCAATAAAGTTACATAAATTCTATTATTACTTATAAATGCCAAATGCTTGTTAAGCAAGTTATTTTATTTAAAGCAAATTTCAAACCATCATTAAATTATGTTTTTTAATTTGTTGCCATTTTGTCGTACAAGAGCAAGTTACTATTTATTATTTAAAAAAAATTTATTCTATAAATCTAGTAACATCGGACACAAATTATTCGTTCAACGAGTCATCACAATTCTCCTCATATAAAATTATTCTTCTCATTTTACTCCATAAAAGAAGAACGAACGAAAGACAAACGGAGCAAGACACGAGACAAGAGGGAGCCAAGGGAGTCAATATCCTTCCATTTGGACATTGAGTCACGCTTTACGTGTCAAGTGTATACAAATGTACAGACCTCTTACTATTGGTACATATATTTACCTCTTGTGTTGAGGATAATATATGATTCAAAAATACACGATTGAAATATGAATTATTCAAACGATAAAGTTCCTTTTGTTATTTGTAAGATTCAAATATTTATAAATTTAAAAGCAATATTTAAAGCAATAAAATTTACAATATAGGGAAATATATATTTCTAAAGGATCGCCGGAAAAAAAATATTTCGTTAGAATCTGTAAAATAACAAGATATAACAAGATATAATAATATCGAACAAAAAAACAAAAAGAATTTGTTATTCAAGTGAGTAATTCTATGGCATTTTATGAGCCTTAATCAGCAGATTAGAAGGGCACTTTATTATTATTTCAAGTATTAATGACAAGTAGGCAGATAAAGGTCCGTTTGCCGGTTTGAAAGTGTGCAAGTGTGTATATAGCGTTTGATAATGACGGAAACGTCACCGTGATTTTCTTCAATGTCACATATTCCGGCTTTATATACCGCAATATATATATATATATATATATATATATATATATACGGCGGTAGG